ATAAAAATATATGAATTCAGTATAGATCTGTAGAAACATTTCTCCTTGTTAGGAGAAATAGGGTTATGTATGGTACCCATGGCAGGCCCATTGTTTTGTATGTCTTCAGTCTCCCCGAGTTCTTATATCCCAGGGTAAATATCATGTTCATTGGATAATGAGTGAAATACATTTGCTAACATGGTGGGTGTTGTCATTTTCCAGTCTTGGGGCTTATTTTTGTGATTGGCGTAATTGAGAAGGCACCTTTTTGTGTACTGTTGTGTGCTTGGCAGTAGTGGGTCAATCCATGGCATGCAGCATCATCCCTTGGACCAACATAATGGCAAAAACCTGAGGCATCTCCTGTCTTCTAGAGTTTTTTTTCCCTTTCCATCTACTTTTTTAAGGCCCGAGTTAACATCCTGATGCCCAGAGAATAAGTGCATTACTTTACAGTCTTACATGTGGCCTCATAGCACATTGCAGTAAACTTGGAGTAAATTGTGCCCTCAGCAAAGTTTATTCATCATTGCAAGCATTTGGATTTTCTTGCCAAAGCCCTTACTGGACATTTCTAGTAATTACCTTATCGAAAGAAGACAGCTGTCATCTTTTAATGACCTGTAAGTTTCCCCCAGGTCCCAGACCCATCATTTCACCTTTAGCATTCAAGCTGCTGATAACACAAATTGCTTAAAAAGGGATGTGTCTGGGCAATAGGGAGACCTTGCTGGTGGTATCATTTTTGTGGTCATCAGCCAAACCCAGTACATTGTATACACCAAACTTACATCAAAGGGGGGAAAACTGGGGCTGAAGAAGGATACGTTCTCTGGGAGGGGTAATGGTCTTGAAGTTAAAATTACTTTAATATGTGCAGTAAATGTACATAATAAAATATATTCCAATTCACAATGTGATGAATCTTTGTTCTTTCCTTTTTAAAATTTGGTTAACATGATAAAACACATTAGATACATTTACTTTTAGTAGCTTATTGCAGACACTCTACACTATAGATGCCTTTAAAACTACAACACAGAAAACTACTACAAAGCAAGTAAAAGCGGTCAATAAAAAAGTAATGCAATCCTAGGAAATATTACAGCTGCTTAAAGCTCCACGTAGATGCAGCATGAACAAGTCAGACCTGCGGACTCTTGTTACCTGACATCCTCCCTCACATGCTCTAGATTTGGTGGAAAAGGCTGTAGTAGGTTCAAAAAGATTAACTAGTAAAGATTTTTTTACAAGCGCTGGTACAGATTTACAGGTCTCATAATAATACCAGCAATTATAGGGACATAGTGAGCGGCACAGCTAGCTGCACAAACTTTTAAACGTGTGGAATGCACGCTGTCAAAGTGTAACATGTGTGTTGAGGCAGAGAAATTGATTAGATGTTTGTGATGATGAACGTAAAAAAGGTGTGGATTATGTTAATGTGTAGGCCTGCTGATAGATAGTTGTAGAATAACATCCAGTGCATTAAGAAATATTGGAACATTTCTAGTAGGACACAAAGGATACTTAAAGAGAACCTCTTTTCTCTTCTCCAAGTGTTGCTAAACCAAATCCTGAGCTGCAGTTAGGTGCCAAAAGGTGCCAGATGTTAGCTAAAGCAGTGACTGCAATAAAAATAATGGTACATAATATTCCAAATATTCCAGAAAAATAAAGTCGTAGTAAAATAGTAGAGACAAACAGCTATAAAGAAGGTGTGTCAATAGCCAAATCTTAATTTTTCCCAGGTTTTGTACAGAGTATAGACATGTGCGATTCGTTTCACTCCAAAACGAAATTTGGACGAAATTTCGGAGATTCGGATGTATCCGAATTCCGAATTACAGCTAAAACAAATGCAAACGAATCCGAATTCCCAATTTCCCAAAATTCGTTAGCAGTAGTCCGGTCGAAATATCTTTTTTTGGCTGAAATTTAGTTGCAGCAAAATGACATTAGAAAAAAAAAAAAGCGTGAGGTTTCCCACCAATTCATAACAGACCCTTTAGGTCTGGTAGGAATGTTAGGAGGAAACCCCCCCCCCCTCCCCCTAATTAAAAACAAAAAAAAAGAAAAAATTTTAGCCCCTTTGAGGTCGGGTAGGAATTTTAAGGGGGGGGGGGGTACCCCAGCCCCAAAAAATGGGGGGGAAAACGTGGGGTCCCCCCTAACAGTCCTACCAGACCCTTGATCCGAGCACTGGCCCGGCAGGAAGGGGGGGTGATCGAGCACCCCCCTCCCTGCGCCTTACCAGGCCACATGCCCTCGGCATTGGGAGGGTGTCAACAAGGGCCTCTTCCCCACAACCCTGATCCGGTGGTTGTGGAGGTCTGCGGGCAAGGGGGCTGATTTGCATTGGGGTATCCCTTTAAATAAGGGGACACCCAGAATCCGCCCCCCCTTGTGAATGAGTAAGTCACTAAAGGGTAAAATCAAATAGTTAGTAAAAAGTCCAGACTTTTGATAAAATCCTCTAATTAAAAAAAAATTAAAAATGGCTCCATCGATGTAATCCAGTGTCAATCACAATGCACGACCCCCGCTGTCCCGCCACAATAAAAAAAAGTCCCACCGCACGACGACCGCCTTAACCCGATGAAAACTCGCAGCAAAATGACATTCAGCCCGAAAGTAAACAAATGGGAGGACCGAGCCGTGACATTCTCAGCTGTCAAATACCACATAGCAATCGGGAACTCCCGAGTGCTATTCGTGAGTTTCCAAATGCCATTCAGGTCTGTGAGCCTAGTTGTGATAATGCTTTTTATATGATACCTCGGCTCACAGACCGGAATAGCATTCGGAAACTCACAAATAGCATTCGGGAGTTCCCGATTGCTATGTAGCATTTGACAGCTGAGAATGTCAAATGCCGAGACCACGTGGCCTGGTAAGGCACAGGGAGGGGGCGCTCGATAGTCCCCCCTTTCCTGTCCTGCCGGGCCAGTGCTCGGATCAAGGGTCTGGTAGGACTGACTCTTAGGGGGAACCCACTTTTTTCCCCCCATTGTTCAGGGCTGGGGTTTCCCCTTACAATTCCTTTAGGTCTGGTAGGGATTTTGGGGGGAACCCCACACACTTATGTTTGTGTTTTAACTTGGGGGGGGGTCACTCCTAACATTCCTACCAGACCTAAAGGGTCTTGAATGAATTGGGGGGGAACCTCACACTTTTTTTTTTTCATCTTCTGCAGACTGTAAAAAAAAAATGTGTTATTTTTTTTCTAATGTCATTTTGCTGCAATGACATTTCATCCAAAAAAACGAAATTTCGTCCAAAAACGAAATTTAGACCCGACTACCGCTAACGAATTTCGTCCGAATCCGAATTTCGAAACAAATTTAATTTCGGCCCCTATTCCGAAAAAATAAATAATGCAAAATCTGAATCGAAACAAAACTAAACAAATTTTTTGCTGGTGCACATGTCTAACAGAGTATGGATTGCTTAAAACCCTTGTAAGGATTTTTTTTTCTATTTCCCATTGGGGAGATATCCCTTCACTTCCTGCCCAAAAGACACAACAGAAAGTATCTCTCCAAAACAAGGGGAAATCCCCTCCTAGACAGCTGTCACCAGAACAAATGCCCCCTATTGTAACATTTCTACTCACCTCCTGTTTCAAAGACAACCCTAAAGTTCTGGATTCTAACCTTACCCTAAATATGCTTTATTAATTTATAGCAAAGATCAGCAATGTACAATTAACCAAATATCAGCCAGTCAAATATTGGAATATTGCTGATTTTGGAATGATTGGTAGTGGTACCTAAATAATACAAATCTTAGCTCTTTATTATTAAAGCAGTTAAAGCTGAACTCGACACAGACTCTTTTATCTAAGTTTAATTCTCAGTAGCTACAAAGGATAGATACAAAGGCCCTTGTAAATCCAGATATTACCTGGTAAATGTAGCAGTGATTTCATCACTGTACTGCATATAGTCTGAGCAGAGAATAGACCTAGCAGGTACTCCCACTATAGGCTGTCTGCAGAAAACTATAGAAGGAAGCAGATACAAGATGAGTCACCCTGCACAAGGAGAGAGAGCAGCAATGGCTGGTCTTTATTACAAGAAGCCCTGGCACAGAGTCAAAGTTTCACACTGGATTACTGCACAGATCTGGAACCAATACACAAAGCATACAAATATTCAAGTAAGAATACAGATGGCTATTGTACTTAGACAGTATTTACTTATTCCCAAGTACAGTTTTATGTCTAGACAGCAAGTGAATCACCAAATTCCTAATGCTATCCAGAAAATAATAGAAATGTGCTAAATTCATATAATCTGAGTTTATATAATCCAATGCAGTTGGACTAAGCAAGTTCACACATGCTTCTGGGTAGGTCTCCAGCCTCTTGTCACATAATGTTCACATAAGTTTGTGCTTCGCAACTTTCTTCTCCCTGTCTACAAGGAATAGATTTAAGAATATCAGTCCTGC